AGTGGGTTCGTCAGACACGGTTCAGTTGATGTAACTGATGGCAAAGGAGTTTGCAGAGGAAATGGTGTAGAGGTCATGTCTGGGAGACTAGAAGAAGCCTTGCATAGCCGAGAAAGGGCAACTTGGATGTTCCCATTAAAGTAACTTCTTTTTTTGTTTTGTTTTGTTTTGTTTTTTTGTAATTGTTATTTTTGAGACAAGGTCTCATGTAACCTAGGACTTGGGTACCTGAACTCTAGCGTACCCAAGGATAGCTTTGAATTACAGACTTCATTACATGGTTCACCATGCCTGTTTTTAGGTAATATTGAAGATCAAACATAGGGCTTTTTGCACATAGGCAATCATTCCTCAACGGAACTACATCCCCAACCCTGCTAAATGCTTTTGAGCAAGGAAGAGACAGGGAAAAAAGCCTGCCTTGTAGGAAGTGGGATAGACAGCTGAACTTCCCAGTGGAATGGTACGTTCAGAATAGCAAGATGAGGTCCTTGTCCCTAGTGCAGAGGGCAGCTGCACCGTCGAGCTCATGAAGTTTCTGAAGAAGATGTGTGGAAGATGTCATCAAGAAATGCAAGATAAAAAGAATGAAAGGGAGAAGGAGAACACCAAGGACAGTTCCTGTTGGTTTCAGAGCCGAAAGGCTGTGCATATCTCTTGGGCTCCACCACTCACTCTCAGGATCAGGGCAGAGACAGTTCAGTGGCTGAACCGGTTCCATCCTGGAGACCTCTGTCCCAGGAGTCTGAGTTCAGGATGTCCTCAGAGACATCTGCTGTCATCTTACTGAGAATGATGCTCCCACGGGTGAACTAAATCCTCAGAACTAGGGCTAGTAGAAGCATGCATAAAATCCCTTTTTATTTTCTCCCACAGCCTGTTTCCTAGGGTTCCTTTTGCTGATGAAGAGTCCACAGCTCAGCTTGTTCCCCTCCCCTCTGTGTCTCTTACTCCAACGATTGCCTCCCTGCCACCCCTAAGAGATATTGTTCTTATCCTCTCCTCATTTTGACCCATTTCTGTGTTTGTTTCAGTAACTTTTTATATTCCATGGCAGGGTAGCAACTGCAGCCTGTGGACCAAGGCTGTTTTAGTAAATAAGCAAAGCCAGTTATTCATGTCTACGGTCTCTGGCTGCCTTCTTCACAGCACAGAACGGACCTGCAGCCCACAGTGTCTCATAGCCTAAATTATTTACTGTTTGACCCTTTACAGAAAACAAAAGTCAGCAAACCTAACTCCGGTTCTTTATCTGCACTCTCTTGGTTTTTTGCTCCTTCTTGGCCTGAGGAAGCCTTGGGGGAAGAAAGAATGCAGGGATCGGTTCTAAGGGAGTACAAGAGTAAGTAGGTGTACTTAATTTCACTAGGAGTTCCAAAGGAACTCCATCCCCTTCTCTGCCAGCCTGTTCAAGAAATGATGCCTCATATCTTAATTCACAAGAGAAAGTCTCATAATCTTTGGGATCATCATAGACGATACTTAACTGTAGAGTTCATAAGCATTAGCTAATTTAATGTTCATGACCAGCAGGTGACCAAATGTTGAAACACAGACTGGAAAGTGGCTCGCCCTTGATCCCACAGCTAGGAGGAGCATGGCCCTTGCCCCTTACAGCTGCCGTCAGAGAAGGCTGCTGTTTCAGAGCACTACCCAATAATGGGTAAAAGCAAGATTGCGAACAAACGCAGGTATAAGACTGGGGTAAAGGTAAGCTTTACAGTTTTGAATGCAAGAAAGCTATGAAGCTCACCTCCCTCACGGAGAATACAAATAATAACTGTGACAGTGCAGAAGGATCCCCAGAGCCCTCTCCCCGAGGTTCCTGCTGCAGTCCTGCTGAGTGGAGCTCTTTGGCTGTCCTCGCTACATTCTACCCCAGTGGGGCCTGTGAAACAAGAGCACAAGGCTTTAACAAAATCAGCCTTGTGCTAGACACTGCTGGTATCATTGTCCTCTCTTCGTGAGCCTTTGGTGATTATAAACAGGGCCATGCCAGAGCTGTGGGAGGCTTATGTATGACGACGGAAGGCTTTTCTGTTTCGCCCACTGAATTTTGACTTTGTGGTACATTAGGGTGTGTCTAGGGTCGTACTCTAGTGTGTGTGGAATGGAAAGCTTATGGAGCCCATACCTGATTTTTTTGTCCCGTTAATTTCTTCATCAATGGGGAAAGGAGGGATCCAGGGGTAGTGTTATGGTGTGTGTGTGTGTGTGTGTGTGTGTGTGTGTGTTTCAGGTGGGAGAAGAGGAGAAATGAAAGAAAGGATCACGTGTCAAGGCTCAGGAAGAACTTCAACTACGGATGGATGAAGTCAAGTAAGGAATGTAGCATGTATTCAGAAAACCGCTTGGACTCACCAAATAGCAGAAGTGGGAGCATGCCAGGAAAGACTTTCCAAGTAACTACTGGGACCAGGGGCCACAGTCCACAAATTGTAGACGGGCACTGGGTGTGGGTAATACTGTGACAGGGACACACAGCCAACATCCAAGTAGAATGCTGGGACCCATGAAAGGCAGTTTCAGATCCCTGAGCTATTTAACAGAACAATGACCACTTCTGCTTAACGGTTCTAGAGTTCACATTAAACTAGCAGCCATGCAAAGATTAATAAACTTACTTGTTTTGTCCCATAGTGTCACTTCCTTAATCCAAGTACATGTACCTTAGAGTTATTAAAATAGGGAGTGTCCTGCCAGGATTGAGCCATGTGAAGATAATATACTCATCTTTCATGGTCTTTATGCTCTAGAAGTCTATTAAAATTCAAACATGAAGGGTGACTTGGAAAAAATTATGGCCTGCAAGAAAATTTGCTGTCCAGCAAAGCTGACAGAGACACACTCGGCTCTACAGGGTGGACCCCAGGCATTAGCAGCAGACCAAGCACAGGGAGGAACAGGGCAGTCGCAGCAAGCTTGACTGCAGCCTGCGGACTGATGATGGCTTTCCTCGCCCGTTTCCTTTCTCCTTTCTCTTCTTCCACCAGCATAAATGTGGTGGCTCCAAAATTCTGCCTTCTCTCCTTAGGAGTTGGCACTGGTGGATATCCTGGCTGTTCTGTTTCCTTCCATTTTGATTGCTTTGCTTTTATACTTTTTATTATGTTAACTAGTATGCCATATGAGCTGTCACTTCTTAAATTGTAGGTGTAGAGTGATTTGTTTTGGCTGTAAACACAATGTCATATCACAGACCTATAGAACTTTTCCGTCTTTCATGACTAAAATGCTGAATGCTGTGTTTATCAAAAGCATCTTCCTCAGGTTCCCGGCAAACGTCATTCTTTCTGTTTATAAACCTTTTACTAGATGCCTTTCAGTAGAATCATATAGTACATGTGTTTATATGATTTTATTTTTATTTAGCATAGTGTCCTCACAGTTCATCCATGTCCACTATTAGGAAATTTTCTTCTATTTTATGGCATATTAATATGTTACCACATGTATGTACCATGGGATGTGGTTTTTTTTTTCTTTATCAGTTGCTACTGTGATGGACATTTAGGCTCCTCTACCTTTGGGCTATTGTGTACAGTTAGTTCTACAATGAAAATGGAAGGGTAAAGATCCTCTGATATCTTGTTTTAAAAATCTAGGAGTGGGACTGTTAGATTTTTATGGTAGTTCTACTTTTAACTTTCTGGGAGATATGCATGCTGTTGTCCTACCATTTTGTACTTCTGTGGCTCGTGCTGGAGAGAACTACACACCTATCTCTCCTCTTCTCTTCACCCCAATCTTCCTTCTCCAGCAAATAAAACTGCTGCCTTCCTCTTCTTCAGCACTCTGCTCCTTCTTTTGGTTTCCAGGATATAACCTGACTCTTGACGTTCTTAAAAATCCACATTGAGTCAAAATACCTCGTGACCTCTTGTTGCCCACCTAGATGTATTTGCTCTCTGCTGGAGTCTCTAGAGTCCTTGTCTCTGTTGTTTGGGACAATTGATAGACATGCTGTTTTGACCTGAGTTTTCACTTTAACTGAACTGCCACCTGCTGATGTATCTTCTCTGAGAACTTTGCAAAATATTTTTTTCTCTCCGTGAAGAAGCAGAAATCATAGCAAATGTATGTGTGCTACAGGTTTAGAAGTCAGTTGCTCTGGAAACATAAAGAGGACCCTAGGGAGTAGCTCAAGTGTACAGGACACTGTTAATTCCTATAGAGATAAATGAATGTGATGGGCGGAGAGGAAAGGTCAGTGGCATCACTGTTTTTAGCTTGCAGGCCTTGGAATAGGCAGGCAGGCTTAGAGGGTTGGATCGGACTGCACTTGAGCAGTGTGGGATGTTGGCAAGTAGGGTGAACAGGTACATGCCAGGAGTGGAGTTCACCTCATAGGAAGTCAGCAGCTGCTTGAAGCAGGGACCAGTCTAACTGGCAGTCTGAAAAACACTACTTCTGGCTCCCTGTGCTGGAGAGTCCTTGGCTTCCAACCATACTGTGCCTTGCCAGCAGTGCTGTCTGAGTGGTTAGCAGTGCTGTCTGAGTGGTTAGCTCTCAGCTAAGCTGAAAGCCTGAGCCTACCCTTGCCTGCCAATGGCGGGGAAGGGAGAGGAGTGGGCTGCTTGGTACTCTTAATAGCTCCATCCTTTCTGCTTTTTCCTTACCTTCTCACACCCCTCCAGATCTGTCCTATCTCACTGCCCACCAAACCGGGTTGGACAGGTATGTAGAATCAACCGCATACTAGAATTAAAGGAAGTTCTGACGCTCTGCCCATGGAGAACTCTCTAGCTGGTGTGGATGGGACTAGAGTCACACCTAGCACACACAAGAACTGCTGAAGAATCGATGCAGGACTGACTGAGTAGCTGAAAAGTTATTTCCTTCTTTGTCCAACTTGATTTTGTTTCATAATTTCACAAAGATCATATATTTCTTTAGAAATTAGAAAAAGGGTTGATGTTATTAGAAATAAAACCCAGATGCTATTCTGAAGTAATCTTGCAATAGCCATTGATACTCTAAATATATTCCTGTTTCCACAGGTGGACTTGACCTCATCTTCTTGCCAGGCCTCGGGTTTGACAAAGATGGCAACCGGCTGGGGCGGGGCAAGGGCTACTATGACACCTACCTGAAGCGCTGTTTGCAGCACCAGAAAGTGAAGCCCTACACCTTGGCTTTGGCTTTCAAAGAACAGATCTGTCCCCAGGTCCCAGTGGATGAGCATGACATGAAGGTAGATGAAGTCCTTTATGAAGACGCCCCAGCCTCTTAAGTCACACAGTGACATCCACACTCACTGGTTTGTACCAGTGTGAAGAAAGTATGTGTATTTTCTCCTTGTCAAAAATGAGTCAAAATGGCACATTAAAGTGAATATGGATTGTGTTTCTTGAGTGTAAATATAAAATATCTAACTTAAAACCGCCTTTAGAAGTCAAGAGACGTGTGAATACTAGAATATTAATTCAAATAGAAGCAAAAGCTGTATGGTTTTCAGCTTAGCTTCTTGGTGTTGAGATGGTAAGTTGACCTTTCTGCCTTGCAGTTTAAATTAAATATTTATGAGTATTAAAGAAACATAGAAATTGGGGGTAAAGGCTCTATTTCTTAATGTCTGGTCATAGGCCTGATTCCTGTGACATATGGAGACTCGTCTGTTTTTAATTGGTTTGGCAGTACTTCATTTTTTACCACCTAATCATGGCTTTGTTTACTCACCTTGAGGTTTTACGTATGACACTCCATAGCTTTGTCTGGTGGATAGATGGGAATGGTCTCTGGTCTTTAGGACTTTAAGATCTGATATACATTAGAATAATTTTTATTGATTCATGGGTTCCATTTGGAAATGGAAGCTGCCATGGACACGACATTGCCAGATGGCATCACAGCCAGAGAGAGGTAATTTTGTTGCAGGGAAGATTTGGTTATTACAGGACACTCGGGGATCTTCCTGGCCATGAGTGCTTGCCTGGGTCCCACCTGCAACCTGTCACCAGCTCCTGTTGGTACTGCCTCTACTTCTGTTCTCTCCTTCCTCTTGTCTCGCTGCTATTTTCTTCACCCCTCAGAAATGATCGGATGAGACATCAGTCTGATGTGGACTCTCCCAGCTGAAGTATTTTGGAGACTTTGTAGCAGGTAGATGCCTTCCACTGTGGAATAAAGCTCTTGTAAGGGCCCCTCTGCCCTTTGTTGAAAGTGAGGAGTGGCGCCACCCGACTGGCTTACTCCTGGGCCGGCAGGCTGCTTGTTGTCCCGGCCACCCGGCTAGCTTATGCCTGAAATAATTACACAGAAACTGTATTCATTTAAACACTGCCTGGCCAATTATATCTAGCCTCTTCTTGGCTAACTCTCACATCTTGCTTTAACCCATATCTAGTAATCTGTGTATCACCATGGAGTTGTGGCTTACCGGGAAGATTCTAACCAGCATCCATCTCGGAGAGGAGAGCCATGGCGTCTGCCACACTGCCTTCTTCCTCCCAGAATTCTGTTATGTCTACTCCGCTCACCTATGGGCTGCCCTATCAAAAGGCCAAGGCAGTCTCTTTATTCAACCAATGAAAGTAACACACAAGCAGAAGAACCTCCTACACCAGCCCTAATTCTATCATCTTTCCCCTCTCTTCCTATATTATCTTTCTGTAAATGCTGTGAGCATCACAGGCTGTTCCTGCCCTCTGCCCTGTGCAAGCCTGTTTTCCTTCGTCTCAGTGCTATCTTCTTTTGTCCTGGGGACTGCTGTGCATCTTCAGGGCTCTGCTCCTGCTTTGTTTCTTCCAGGAGGTCTTCCTCCACCAACCCTCCTACCAGTTCCAGTTCCTCTTCCTTCCTTGCTGTGTTCATTGCCCTGTTTATCACATTGACCTGCATAGCAGTAGTTAGTGTCCACGTCTATCCCCTTCATGAAGCTTTAAGTTGAAAAAAGCTTCTTGGGTTCAGTACATAACTGATGTAGAGTATTGGTAACATTTTTAAAGAGTAAACAATGCATGTACATTTGTTTCATTTAAAACACAGATCTACTGTTTTATATACTCTATAGTTTATATAGTATATAGTTTGATATTGTATGCACAAAAGTAAAAAAGTACTTTAAAAATGCCAATTTGGCTAACAGTGGATCTCTACAATTTAGTGTATACAATGAGAAATGAGAGAGAAATGGAATTCCTACAATCTATGATGACATTATTATACTGATTAATCTTCTGTATAAATGTTAATATAGCTGACATGACTGTGAAATAGTTAAATCATAAAATCACTGAGCTACTGCAGGTCTGGAAAGCTTCACTTTCTTAACCTATGTTATTCTTCTACCAAAAGAGCCAGGTATAGTTAGAGAAATAACTGGCCAGCAATTGCTGGGTAACCAAGATTCAGATAAGTAAAAGACCACAGGATCTCTCCCTGTAATGATTAATCTTGTCAACTTGTCAGGATTTAGAATTACCATGGAAACACATCTTCGAGTGTGTTTATGAGGGTGTTTCCAGAAAGGTTTAACTAAACAGTAAAGATTTACCCAAAATGTGGTAACTTTCTCTCTCTCATGAGGTGGGATCCTGGACTGATTGACAAGGAGAAAATGAGCTGAGCACTAATAGTCATTGCTCTCTGCCTCCTGACTGTGGGTGCCTCATGCTTCAGATGCCGTGATGGATCATATTGCTAAAATAAATACCTCCCTAAGTTGCTTCTTATTGAGTATTTTGGTGATAGCAAGCGTAGTAAGTAATACACCCCCCTAAAACAGCAGTAATTCCTGTGTGCCCGACAGTGCCCTGTGGTATCCCTGCTGAAGGTATTGGAAGGAAGAAGCCCCCACCCCTGATGATGTAGAGTATGAGGACACTGTAACCGTGATTAGGACATCTCTGACCCAGGGAGTGAGCACCACAGTGCAGGGCTTCATGTGTTATGATTTCAATCTGAAATGCCCCCACAGGTCCATGTTTTGCACAGCTGTCCCCAGTGATGGCACTGTTTTGCAGGAAGTGCAACTTTTGGAGGTAGATCCTAGCTGGCAGACATAGGCCATTGGAAGTAGATCTGCTCCTGGTCCTCTGACCTTCTGCTTTTTAATCTGCTGTGATGAAGCCCCCACTGCTGTGACTGACACTTCTCTAGCATGCCTTAGTTGCCATCATGAACTGAAAACCTCTGAAACTGTGAGCCTGACCGAATCATTCGTCTCTTGATTTGTTTTTGATCTATATCTGTCACAGCAATGCAGAAGTAATGAGTACACACTGAAAGAATGAAGAGGGTCTCAGAGGGGAACTATCTAGGTAGAGGAGAGCCAACAACCAGCTAATAACTGAAACCTTTAACCAGAGAGAAACCAGGAGACAGATCTACTCCCAATGACCTACTTCTGCCAGCTAGGTTCCACCTCCTAAGGCTCCACTTAATCCTGAAGAGTTAAAAACACCAGAACCATAAATAGGTATGTGGTGGATATTTTATAGAACTGTGTTTCATTGAGCTAAAACTAAACTATATGAAGTTCTAGTCTGTCATTGGTTAAGAATAATCAACACTTAATCCTAATGTCCTCCAATATAAAGGACTGATTGAAGATATTGAGACAGTTCCTGGCCCCAGATATTAAAATATTTGTGTAGATATGGGGGTGGGGGGGGCTATATGTGTTTCTTGTAGAGATTTCTGGAGTTCAGTTGCTCATGGTGTATTTGTGTGGATATGTTTAATTCTTCCACGAACCTATAGCTCCTCAAAGTTCATTCTCTGACAAATTCATAATCATTTTGAGACCCAGTAGAGACCCCAACACAAAATAAACAGGAAGTAATTCCTGATGAGGGACTGAACCCCTGTCAGTGCTGCCCTTCTTCTGCTGCGCATGTACTGGAGTCTGTGGTGGTTGCTAGTCATTGTTGAGATTCTGCTCCTTCAGCATTGCCACAGGATTGGATCATTCCAAAACAAGTGTTCTAATAATCCAGGGGCACTGTTTGGCCAGCATGTATCTGTGAGTTGCATTGTCTGTGTTCCTTTTCCTTGTTGGTGATTTCCTTCTTTGCATATTTTTTGGCCATCTTCCTATGCTTGGAAGGTTTTAAACCTTCTGCCCTGCAAGAGTGATTGTCATTCCCATTGGTATCTATCCACATAAATGCTTCTTTTCATGCTTAAAAGTAAATGTTCTTCTAAATAATAAAAGTGGACACCATAAAGCATGCATACCAAAAAGGTATGGTAATACTGAAAAATTACAAAGTATAAAATTTATTGTACGTTTTTAAAGGAGATAGTGATATGGTAAAATGTGTTTTAAATTTATTTTCACTATATTTTTAAAAAATAGTATTTTATTAATTTTTTGAGAATTTCATACAATGAATATATTTTGTTGATATTTATTCCCCTCACCCCTCTCAGCTCCACCCTACCTCCCTACCCACACAATTTCACCTTCTCTCCCTTTTATTTAAAACAAATCGAATCCAGTGTGTGTTGTTCAGTTACTCTTAGGTGTGGGGCCTGCCCTGTACTGTGGTCTGCCTACCAAGGGTAACACCATGAATGAAAACTGACTTTCTCTCTGTCAGCAGCTATCACAGGTCAACGACTCCTCAGCTACGAGTGAGACCTAATAGCAATCCCCCTGCCCCAATGCTGCATTTTGTCTGGCTTGAGCTTGCACAAGATTTGTGTGTGATATCACAATAATTTGAGTTACAGGTGCAGCTTCCCTGTTGTGCCAGAAAAGTGTTTTCTTGAAGTCATCCACCACTTCTGGTTCTTACAATTTTCTGTCCCCCCTGCCTCCAAGATTCCTGAGCCTTAGGCAGGGGATGCCATAAACATATCATTTAAGTTGAGCACTCAGCGGTCTTTTGTTCTTTCTGCACTGGCCAGTTATGGGTCTGTGTTAGTGTCCATCTGTTTTAGGAAGTTGCTTATCTAATGAGGACTTGTGGACTGATATATGAGTGTATCAAGAAGTCTTTAGGAGTTACTTTAATACTGTGTCCATTTAGTGGAATACTAGTTCTAGGTTCTCCCCTAGGACCTGTGGTCTATCGAGTCACAGGTTCTTGGCCTTGAGAATGAATAACAGTGCCAGCTATGGGTTTCTTCTCATAGGGTAATTATTACATATCTTATTCTAAGAGATTTTTCTTTTTTTCCCCAATTTGGTTTGGGTTTTTGATGTTGTTTCAGTTCTTGGAAAATTTCACACAATGTATTTTATCAAGATCACCCCAACTCCTTTTCCTAACTCCTCCCAGATCCATCCTCATCTTTCTACCCACGCCCAAATACATACCCTCTATTTACTTATTTATTTATTTACTCATTCATTCATTCATTCATTCATTTAAAAATAGCTGATGAATTCTACTTGT